TATATATATAGGCTATATTAATATTTATGTGAAGTTGTTAATTTGATGTAATACCTATGTTTGTGTGTTGACAGGAAAGTGGCTATAAATTGGTTGTTTGTGTCAAAGCATAAATGATTCAAGATTCAAATGAATGAAAATTGTATTTGTGTGTGTGTGTTTTAATTAAATCTGTGAATTTTGAATTTTTTTTTATTGCAGTCAACTTAGGCATTCATAAGCTTTTGTTAACCTGCATGTGATTGCAAAACAAGACTAACCATTTGGAGGGAACAGATGTTGTAATTTACATCTGGCCATCTATGATGGTTATGCCCCCACTGTAAAAGACTAGAAACTTTGTTTCTGCTACTACTCAAACTGAATCTACGCTGACTCGCACCTCCAGTGGAGCTGTTTAGAGGAGCATCTGATCTCATATCAGCACTTCTACTCTTAGAAGCAGCATTAGTCTCTGCACCTGCAGGATCTGAGTGTGGCTGTATGCTGTAGCATCCTCCTGTGCAATCAGTTTGAGCCGCTGAATAATTCATAAGACCTTTCATTCTCCACTGGTGAAATTGTGGGGGCATTAGAATGAGACTAAGAAGCCTAAGAAAAATACAAATTAACGAAGAAGCAGAAATAGGAGTTTTAGTTAAAAGTAGCAGTCTGTTGTTTACAGTCTCAGCACTTGGATTATTTATTTATTTATTTCTATTTTTTGAAAATTCATGCTAGTCTACTATTTTGGTATAATGTATTTCAGATAAACCCAACCCTAACTGGTACATAAAAATAATACAATATGTGGTTAGTCACTTTACATAGCTTAAACAGTCTGTTCCTAAGCGTTTTTTTGACAAAAGCTGCAATGCAGACCTAACTTTATCATTTAGTCAAAGGTCTGTTTGCTCAAGAATTGCAGTTACTTAAAACCGGCAGTGGCAGCCATCAGAATGGACAGATAGTTTAGAATAAAACTGGCATTGGCAGCCTTCAGTAAATTCTTGGCACATAAAGTAAGTATAAACTTCAGACCACCATGACCAGTTGGCAGTCGGAAATGTTGGCACTACTGTCTTAGACTTTTTAAGAAAAAATTCAGATTTTGTAATTTTTTTCTGCTTAATCTCAGTGATACAAAAAGGGGGTTGCAGTTGATTATTAAACCAAATAAAGCTAAATATGGATTAAAAACAGTTTCTTCATATTTTTTCATTGAATTTGTACATGCAGCCATCTTGTCACAAATGATGCACATGTTTTTAAAGAGAAGCATATCCTGTTTTTTTTAAGTTACATCATTAATGCCGAAGTGGCTTAATTCCACTTACAGCTTTTCCTACAAGTTAAATAAAAAGCAAATCTTTTAGCCGATGTCCTTTTAAGCCATTAAGAGGAATGTTTCTCTCTCTTTCATGCAAACCCTATTATGCATGGAAGAAATGTTGGGTCATGTGGATGTCCTGCTTCCACATGATTAGCAGACAGACGGAGTGGGGGAAAGACCTTTATGTTGAGTTTCGGCTCATTTTATGTGCCTAGTCTAGAGTTTGCATGGGAAAGTACAAACTGAGCAAACTCACTGTGTGTAAAGGTTTATGTAGTAACAGATCTGGATGAACAAAGTTCAGCTTGACTGGAGTGTGTTTTTGGCTCAGAAATGAAATAGTTTGGAACTTATGGGTTACATTTGTGTGAGAGCAAATCATGCTCGCGATCCTGACTGATGAAATAAATCATGTGAGTGGCCACATTCCCCAGCTCTGTTTTTCAGCTCTTGCAATCACACTGACTGACCACCTATTGACTCTGTGCTCATAACCCTCAGCATGTGACTTCCACAGGCCGACAGATCAGTTTGGTGAGCATGGGGGAAGACACAGCCACCCACTGTCACCATGACATAGCTGCCATTCATTTTGAACAGATGGCAGAGGCATATTTGAATTTCACCTCTTTGGCAAACACAGCACAATATGAACATTGCTTGGATGCTACACAATAGACAGTCAACAGGTTCTGCTGATTCTGTTCACTTAGTCTTGTTCATAATTACACTCACGGATTCAATTTGTGACCTGTGGTGTAGAATTTATCTCTAATAATGCCTTGATAAAGACTCTGTTGAGGGACACAGATATCGTTTCCTTGGTCAAGGCTGTTTCTGCCTCAGAGTGAAATATAAAAAGATAAGTGTGAGCCAAAGTTGAAAATAATGACACTTTCAAAAGTTTGGGGTCAGTAAGATTTTTTTCATTCAACACTTTTATTCAGCAAAGATGTTAA